CAACTAACAGTAAAAGATTTTTTGGACAAACCTCCAAACAAAATCAGCATCAAAATCCATTCAGGAATTCAACTGCTACATAATCTCACAATCTAAAAGGATTGATGTTACTGTATTACAAAAGAAGTCAGAAGCGATTCCATAGTCTCTGGCCTGAGCAATAGATGTTTCAGCTAAAAGAAATCACTTAGCAAACACCTAGCAAAAGGTTGGGGACAGAGTGTTGGGAGGGGAGGGGGGAAGAAAGATAAACTAAGCTCTTTGCATAAAATCAGAGATATAAATCTAAAGTTTTCTTTACATGCTGAATGTATTACACAAACTAACTTCTGCTATTAATTGATGGCTTTTGACATCGTTTTAGGAAAAAAAAAAGTCAAAAATTTTCTTCTACATTTCTTCCTTTAAATGAGTCGTGTGCATTTGATTAGATCAATAAGGAAGGCTGACAACTCTCCCCCACGCTAGGTTTATTACAGAATAACGAGGGAAAGAGAAAGTATGATTGACCTAAACACTGCCTAAAAACCCTGCAAACGGCTCCCAAAGCTCACTTTGAAATGCAGGAGCGAGAGAGATTCAGAGGACCCTGCAGGCTTCATTTGCACATTAAAGGATGAAATTCTACAGCGCCATGCCTCACACAAAAGGTGAAGCAGCTTCACTGCCTTCCCTAGACTTACTTGGAAGAAGGCTTCTGTTGCCTTCGTTCATGCCAACATTTCAGGTCTCACTGTACAGACCAGACCACAAGACTTCGATAATTACATTAACGCTACAATTTATTTAAGGGCAGCAAAGAATGGTGAAAAAAAAAAATACCAGTTATCTATTTCTGTACGACAGCTCTGACTACTGTTGTCACATGTACACAATTCAAAATAAAACCAGTCATCTGGCATGCAATTAGTAGAAGACATGCTGCTCTAATACCAAGCACATTCTTTTATCTATTCCTTGTTGCTGTACAGGATACTAATTCAAGAAGTGCTTTTAGGCCTACTTTGGGTTCTGCGAATGCTCACTATCTATCGAGCTGAAAACTGAGGCACAGTCTATCCCAAATAAAAATAATCAAAGGTTCATTAAAGTAAAATTGAAAAAGAAAAGACCCAGAACTTGATACACAAAAAGCAATGTTGATATAGGAGGAATGAACAATGAGAGGTAACACGTGCTACAGCCATTTCGCTAGGCCGCAATGGCAATGGCCTCCTTTTTGGTAACAGCTGCAAGGCACTCCCTGTCCCCCCCCAGTTTCAGATCTAAAAAGATAATGTATCTCTGTCTTACTCATGGAGGACAGAGGCAAACAGAGAATTGAAACTTCCCTGAAATTACAAACTACGTTTCTGGTGAGCCTGGGAACCTTTCTCCACCACACAAACTCAGGGAATTCAGTTCCATCCCATTCCCCTCCCCGATCTGACAGCTAACTTGGGACAAAAAGGTCTCTCATGCCTTCTTCCCTAAGTCATGGTTTTCACCTGCATAAATTTGCAATAAAAACCTCTTGAATATGAAATTTGCATGGAGGAAATCCCCATGTACTTGACTTGTAAATGACCATTTCCTACGTTCCCTTGCGAGTAAGGGTAAGCTTGCTGCCAAGGCAGTGAGGTACGACGTGTGAATCAAGAAGTACGATTTTCAGTTCTACAAAATTTGGAAGATCAACCACACTACAGCGTAACTACAGCCAGCTGTGATGGGAGACTGTTAGTTTCAGTTTTATAATAGTAAGATACAAATATAATCGGTACTGTCGCGAGGCCTCCACCCTCTCTGCCAGGTTTCACTGACAGAGTTACGAGCCCTTCTCAAACTGCACACAGGCAGTGCAGGGAAGCCACTGCACTCCCAGGAGACTGCAAAGACAAAATGCCTACTAGGAGACTGCTGCTGCATGACCAGCATGCTTTTGCAGGAGCTCCTTGCCATGAGCAGCTCCTCCCAACAGCGTTGCCAGCCCTGGATGGCTTCAGAACCTCCAAGTGTCACCTCCTGTTAGGAGAGCTCTCCCAGTCCTCAACGAACATCTGCAAAAGGAAAAACTGTACAAGGAGCAGCCAACGGGAAAAAAAAAAGGCATTTCACAAAGCTGCTGTAAATGGCCAGAGAGCCACCTGAAGACTACGCCAACTGAACATAATTCTTCCACTGCAATGTAAACAGTTCTATAATGGAAAAAAGTTGGAGTTATGGAACCCACAGAAGCCACATTTTAACTGGAATAAGAAATAAAGCATAAACAGTTCATTGAGAGTGATGAAGTGTGGAGTATTAGAATTCAGAGAGAGCCAAAGGAGAGCAGAACAATCCCGTGTCCTCCTCACAGCGGAGCCCAGCTGTCCTGCTAGTCGAACGGACAGCATCGTGCAGCTTGGCAGGCTGCACGCAACATCTCTGACATCTGCTTTTGTTCTAGCTCTGCTCTGAAAGCTCACATCGAGCATCATGCTTTCACAAAGCTGGTTACCAAGCACCTCACAAAACAATGGCTGGCTAAACAGGACCATGGGTGCAGGGAGGGGGGAAGAGTGGGAGGGTCACTGGGTGTTTCATAAGAGAGGTGCCATTTTGCTTTATATTTAGCAATAGCTATGGTTTAAACTCTGAAAGGAACAGGGAACCAACTTCAAGCAGGATCCAGGTGCCATCTTTGCAAAAATCCCACTCAAAATTCACTCAGAAGTTTTCTTTACACTCCTCCCTGGGCTGGAAGGATTCATTCTCGTAAAATTTGTTGACCCTCTTCAAACAATACCTCCCCACCCTCTCTGCCTCCTCCTCCACATGGAGCTGCAGGCAACGGTCCGCGTGTTACCTCTTTGCAATAACTCAGTTTATTTCAACACTTCAGGGAAACCTTTAAGATATCTCCTTTTGGACTCCAACTCCACCTCTACCTTTAAAAATAGCTTTATGAAACTACTTCAAACCCTCTCATACCAGACAACAAATATAAAACCAGCCGATTTAGTAGACATGCTGCTTGCCAAACCAGGAAGAGTCGCTGAAATTCAAGGCATGTAAGATCCTTGAACACCAACTGTCTTTTTGTCACCCTCTTCCAATGTTTTTTTTTTTTTTAATTGCAGGAGGCACCACCAAGGGCTAACACAGAAGAACTTGAGAAACATTCTGCTGACTCGGGCGAGAAACATTTGCTTGCCACTACTGACGACCAGAAGGAGCCTGTGGTTAGGCTGGAATGTGATTTGTTAGAAATAGCTGTACAATTTACAAATCAAACGAGACAAGAGTTGGTCATCGAGATCAACTCAACATAAATCTATATTTTAGCAATAGTAATTTAGGGGAGTTTGGAAATCCCTATCTACACAACTGTAATGTCTTCGAGAAGGCAACCTCGAACTCTTGAACTCAAAGGCCTTCAGAGAATTTTCAGTTTCGTGACTGAAGTCACCCAAGTTAGAACAGACACTGCTAATCCTTAGAAACAAGTTACTTTAAATGCCATGTTATGACATGTCTAGAAAGCATAATCTTTTATTTATAAATCACACTTGGAAATTCATCACTGCAAGTTGAAGTTAAAATCCTTACAAACATGTTGATGTGCATTATATTTATAGCACTGAATTCCTCACCATAAGGAAAAACGACTGAATATCCAATTAAAAGTGAATCACATTTCACATTATTAATCATTCTGTGCATCTAGACTGTGAACAAAACCATAGCTTCAAACTCCTTATCAAATGTTCTTCTCTCACGTGCCCTTCACAGAACAGCCATCCTGCCCAAGTGATATGAGCACAACAACGACATCTAATTTTAACCTTTTTTTTTATTTGGGGAAAGATGTAATTTTAGGCTGCTTCTAATTTAGAAATATTTCACAAAGAAAAGTGATACGTCTGCCAGCAAGAAAAACACTACTCTGAACTCATTGCTGAACTTAATGTACTAAAAATCTGTTTTCCTCCATGGATACAGAGCTTTTCATACCAGGTTCAAGACTCAGCCCTTCCACAGGGGGGAAAACATGTCATTCAATATTTGATTAAGATAAATTAGAAAAGCAAAAGCTTGCTTCTCATGGGAAACATCCTGCAAGCGTTGCCCCAGGCTGCGACTCATCTCATACTTATCCACAAAGTCATTACACCTCTCCAGAAAGTAACACCAAGTTACAGCATCTTTTCATCTCCAGGAGCAGTGGACAACTACCCACCAAGAAAACCGCCCCGCAATTACGAAAGACTGGACCTAGAGGCGGCTAGAAAATACATCAATCTAGTCTGTCTGCCTGTGTTACAAGATTAAAGTGTCTCGTGATTTTATATATTGCCTGGTACGCAGTACAGGATGTCAAAAGGGTCTCAGAACAAAGAAGTATCCCAAAACTAGAGCATCCTCAAGTGACATAACCATCCTCAGGCGGTCAGGGCTGGCTTTAGCACACCGCCACAGCATTTCAGGCAACGTATTCATTTTACTGTCATGTGTCCATTCACAAGTTTCCATTCCCACTTCAGTCGAGCCTTGCCCTGGTGCAGAGCTGATGGAAATTCCAAACGATGAGCCACAAGCTCCAAATATAAGTGAAGAAGAACCACCAGGGGAGCAGGCACGTGGTACCACTGAATGCATAACAGGGCCACGTTGCTGCTTTGAGGAGTAACATGAAAAGCAGACGCTTCATAAGGCTATGGTCATGCTACTTTCTATAGGAGCCATCAAACAGGGTGATGTCAGGAAGAGGCACAGTTGGAAGAACCCAAGTTCATACTCTGGTGCTGACAGAAGACAAAAATAATCTGTCAGCGTTTTCTCCTCGCCCTTCCCTAGCCACCCACTCGTTATTACTGAAGAATAAATCACAGAACCTATTCAAATTGACACTAGGAGTGATGATTGGCTTTAACGGCTCCAATTAGAGATCGCCTTGCACTGTTATCATTTTTTCCAGCCTGGCTCAAGGAAGCAGAGACAAGAAAAGCACAAAGTTCAGGCCGTGCATTAAAACACAACAAAAAAAAACACAGCAGCGACTCCAAGAGAGCGAGTGAGAGGAAAGCAGAACGTGACCTCCCAGCAGAGTTATCAGGCGGGATCGGTGACAAGGAAATCAAGAGCAAATAATGAACATAAGGTGTCAGCAGCCGAAAGGTGAAGTCCATCAGCCTTCGAAAGGAAGAGCAGGGCACACAATCACCTCACTAACCCCTTGGTGCAAGTTCAGCTTGCTCAACACAGCTTAAACGTTAATATGACATCAGTGGTGTGCAGACTTCTGAAAAGCCACAGTAAGGTAGCTAATCCTGCACAGATGGAGGAGCTTCACGTTAGCTGTTTATTACCACGGTTCCAGCTTTAGATAAACTGTCCAAATCCTGACGTGCACCGCTTCCAGCAGCGCTGGGGGCCATATAAGGAACTCGCAGCCCCACCGCTTCGGGTTCTGACTCACACGGCCGGCAGCTCACGGTGGGGCAGTGCGGGAGGTTATTGCTTCCAGCTGCTCCACCGGCCCCTGCCACCCTCAGAGATGGGCAGGGGACAGGCAGGGGCTGCTCCTGAGTCACCAGGAAAATGCCATTTTTCATCTCAGATGTTATAAACGCGGGGAAGCCACCAGATTTAAGAAACTCCCACGTTGCTCAACTAATCTGGCAGCAGCGTCCTGGTTAACGTGTTGGGCTCTTCCAGTTCATCAGTGCATCATTAATGTAAGTGCAGAGCGAGCAGAACAGAGCCCGTGTGAACTGAAAGCAGGAGTTCCCATCAAGGGATGGTGAGCAAAAGTGATTTTTAAGTTGTGTTGATGCAAGTAGTCCAGGATGTTTCAGCTCATTGTAAAAAGCTTGGGGCAGCTGGAGGAAGTTGGTTTAAGGAGATGGAGGAAACAAATGAAAGAGTAAGAGTCACATGCGATCCTCACACCAACAGGCTCTGTTTCAGCTTCACAACTAACTCCTGTCTTCTGCACCCACCACGTATTTTGCTTTCAACTGCCTTAACTCAATAGCAGTAATCTGATCACAGATTTTAAACAAAACCATTTTTTATTTCATTTGCTATAGGCTTGCAGGTTGACATGTGAATCGAAGAACAGCATGGACTGGAAATGAACACCTCACTTAGCAAAAATAATTCAACACTGGCAAGGGGAGTGCTGCTGCACCTGCCCACCTGGCTGGGGCAGCTCAGCTTTTGTTTCTCCCTTTTTTCTTTACATGCAGACCCGATAATTTTATGAATTATTCACAGTTGTTTTGAATGATCCACATGAAAAGAGCAAAATTTCTCCTGAGGTTGACAATCACTAAGAAAACACTCCTGTATTAAAGTAGCAAATAAATGGGGAATGGGAGTGAATGAGAGTATTTTCTGTAGATTTTGAAATTACATCTACATCACAGAACTGAGTAAGCCCTGTTTTGTGAGTTTTCCTTTTTAGAACTGCTTTTGCAGTTTTATCATGAGTCTCCTTACGAGCTTAGCTCCTGGAAGTGGATAGCTAAAAAAAATCAAGTTTAATTTTAAAAAGCTTTCAGTAGTCCTGGCAAGAAAGAAAGGGGGTGTATTTTGTTTGTTTGTTTGTATTTAAAAAAAAAACAATTATCACCAACAACAGGTTTGGTTTTTTTTTTGGAAAAGCTAATGAGCTCATTATTGCACGAGCTGTCTGGATTTCAAATGCTCAGTTTGGGTTAGAAACTCAGTTCAGACACGGCCAAAATGCGAGTCATTTCAGCTGCAAACTACCGTGCTTTTGGGAGGCCAGAATGTGACCTCTCGCCAAAGCCAAACCCTGGAACCAATTCAGGACAAAAGCAAGACATTGAACCCTCAAGCCCAGATAAACCCAAACTGGCTCTCTAAAGCCAGGCCCGTCAATGAAGGCACTGTCTTTGCAATTCCCTTCTTTTTAAGGGCAGTTTTCTGTTCTTTTTTTGGCCTGAAATCATTGCCGTGCTCTTTCACTCCGCTACAGGACACCCCAGGAGGAATTAAGTGACAAAGCCACACATTGCAGTGCTGAAAAAATCCCAACTCTTTTCTGACCTCCGCGCAGAAAGCATTCCTATTGTACCTCACATTTCCTGTTTGTGCTAGTCCGCAATCCGGCTACCAACGAAAGCCTCCCCAGCAGTTGCTCCACTTGGCTCTACCAGCAAGCAAGCAGAGATCCACGCTTAAAAAACAAAAACACAAACAACTGCAGACAGCCAAAACCCGCTCTGCACTTTTGACCTGTAAGGAATTTGCTTCCATTCATCCCCCGCCACTCTGGATTTTAACAGACCATATGCAGAAAGGCCGTTTATCGGCCAGTTTTCACACGAGGCGTTTTGATAGGCATTAACTCTAAGCTGATTTTCTGCGCCTCGGTCGCATCTTTTGCGATCCGTTTGGTGAAGCGAAAGCAGATCACACGGAGATGGCAAGGGCAGCGCGGCTCCAGCCGAGCGCTCCACCTAGTGTCGCTGCTGCCAGCTCATTCACGTCGCTCTGCAGCAGCAGATGGACCTCTCCAAGATGCACAAACAAGAAATTCCTGACAAGTTACCCGCAGTCATCTTCTTCTGGCAATTGGGTGATTCGTGCCATTTGTATTTTAACGTAGGAACGGCATAAAAGAAAACATAAGGCTAAAAAAAACCAACCACGTGCTGCTAAAACCAGTATCTGGAGTCGTTAATCATAATAGTTTTATTTCCTACAGAACCACATGGTGATTACTATTTTTAAAGTGGTGTTTTTAAAGAATTGTGAAAAACCTTTAATGGACTTTGGGAAAAAAAGCCAGCAGACTTGTTTTGAAAGTGTCAGAATAAAAAGGATTCTTGGAAGAGTGGCCTGCTTCCACATTTCTGTGCTGAGACCTGCTCTGTGCCAGCCCTTAGCTCACTGCCAATTTGCAGACAGAGGATTGTTTCCCAAAAAGCCATGTCAAATTTTACATTTACTGCTTGCGACAATTCTGTCCAAGGGGACAGAATTAAACTAAGAGCCAATGCAGCAGATAACGTTAGCTCCTTTATAATCTATATAGGAAGTTCTCGAATCACAGAAATAGCAATAAAAACCTACGAGCAAACTAACAGGATTGACCTTTCCCTCCTACACCACAATGTTTTCAGCGGGAATGTTCTGACAATGAACATTCTGGTGACCCACAAAATCCAAATCAGATGTGAACGGATATAAAGCAGGGGCAGTAATGTGCCCCCAAAGGGAGACTGCTTTGGATTGTAACCTCTGCTTTAAACACAACTGCTAGTTCCAACTCCTGTCTTCTCAGCTAACCCCAAGATCTCTCCTGCAACTTGAATCCACCTCGCTCCACATTGTGGCTGGCGTGAGATGCTCCGAAGAATCCAGACAAATGACAGTTTTCAACCCTGGAAAAACAGCCACCCAGGCCAGAGTCATTCCTATCCTGCAGCTATTGCATAACTATTTCTGCGAGCGATTTGCCCAGCTAACAGGCTGCGCTTATGAGCAGCTCGATACGAAATAGCTGTGTGCAATATGCAGAGGGCTATATTTAAGAAAGATGCACCTGTGTCACAGCTGAAGCAGTTCAGGCACTGCGCGAACAGGTGCCTACATGCCATCAATTCCTGCCCGTTGGCCCTTGATGGCAGAGACAATGCTGCAAGCATCAACAAGAGCTCCGCAGCACATGGGTGGGCCCGGGAGCATTGTTCTCTAAGCATGTAATTGCATTCCCAGCAATCTCACTGTACATACACATTTAAAACAAGCAATTAATTACGAACAATTTTAAAATACTTACTGAGTCTACTTTTTACTGCCTGCAAATCCAGGCACTAAAGCAGAAGGATTTTTTTGTTTTTTTTTTAAACTTTTAATTTCTTTGAATCAACATAATCAAGAGATGTAATTAAAGTGCACAGAACATGTAAAGTAGGTATACATTACTGTAAAATTCAATTGTGATTTTACCACCTGAACTATATTTTACTTTTAGAGGAAGGTGCTGCACAATTAAAATAGCAAATTATTTAAAACTCCCCCTTCTGAAAGCCAGAGCTCCTAACTGCTTTGTTTCCAAACGGATTAAATACAGAACACTACTAAATCAGCAGATATTAAAGACTGTATTACTCCATTGATAGTAAGTTCCATATACATACTGCTGGCAGAGCTGTATTGACAAGAAAATTATCAGTTCTGCAGCTTAAAATGGCAACACGCTCTCAGGGCAGTAAGCTTGTGTTCTTACACTCCCACTGCCATCTAGTGGCACAAAGCCCGTATGTTCCACCAAGTTATGAACTGTTCAATGTTCGGGCACGTTTAGTGCCAAGGAAGTGTATTTTTTCTGAATTTACAGTCCTTGCTACTCACTAAATCTTGCACAGGAGAAAAAAAGTAAAATGTGTCCTTGCTTCTCTTACTGCGCTCACCGCCTTTATGCAATTCCCTCAACAGAAAAATGCTCATCTCTATTGCATATTTAAAGCAAACAAACAAGTATTTCTCCTGTATTGATACACATTAGAAGTTGATGGTATGATTACATCTTACTCTATAACCACCTTCTAATTGAGTGCAGTCTGTTTTTCCCCCCAAAATTGTGAAATCTTACCTCTTACATTCCAAAAAAATAATTTCACTACACCTGCAATAAATACCTCTGCTAAAAATATTAAACTAATTTGCTTTTTCTAGGTGATACTTCTCATTGGAATCTCTAAAAGGCTGCTCACTTACATCTACTACAGACACAATGAAAATTATACTGACTGTTAAGCCAGCGAAGTAATATTTTGTCTACGTGACTTAAATGTCAGGCCAGGTCGTGACCTAAATGTACCGACTAAGTTCACACACCCCACAGGAAAAGTTCAGTGATATGCTAAATTTGTTTTTTTATTAAAGTAACTTAGAACCAATAAAAAAAATAAATTTTAAAATAGAGTAAAAGAAAGGTCATTTCATTCCACCTTCTTTCAGAACTGCAGTGCTGTCTTATAAAGACTTTTCTTTATAGGACAAAATTATCTTGGATACAAAGATGATTTGTCCTGGATACAAAATGACAGCACTTGCTATTCTGCACCAGATCAATGTACAACAAAGAAATAACCCACTTCCAAATGCGGTTTACAAATAGTGGAAAATATTTCTTATTTACTAGATTTCTGTCAACACGTGTAAAAATTGAGAATAGAACTGTACAGAAAGCATGCTAAACTGCTTCGAAGACTGGCTAGATAACAACATCTTTGGTTTGAAGAAATCAGACTATCAACAAGTGAGTCAACTTAAGAAAACAAACAAGCAAAAAAAAAGACAAAAATCTATCATTTTAAAGTCTTACTTGCTGATTTAAATCATGATCTACTGATTTTAATAGCAAACTTGGAATTACTTTGCTTTCTCTTCCTTTCTCTGGCCTGATGAGTAGCCAGTGATCCTTCCTGCTAAATTTTCACTCCCACCCGAGGCTGGTGGAGCACCCAGGCTGAGCTGAATTTGTGAGCTTTACTCCACCTCAGGCACCACTCAGTGTTGAGTTGTCTCTCCAGCGAGGTGGGCACCTTGGTTCATGACTGATGATTTTGATTGATTCTCCATCTGCAGAGCCCATGTGTTTTGGTGTCCCTAAGCTATTATCATCACCTCTGCCAGTCAGGAGGATTCCTACACTGTGAAATCACCGCTGTCCAAGCACTCTCCAGCATTGCATGCAAAACATTCAGACTCTGTTCATTGGCTCTACTGAGTTTCTATTTCCAATCGTTTAGGTTGACAGCAATATTTTTGCCTAAAAGGCTGTGTATGCAGAAAATTGTTTCTGTTTAACAATAGTTCTCTTTCTTCCGTACCTTCTACCTCCAGAATCTTTAGGAGAGAAGCTCCACCAGCAGACTGACATGACTGCGAACGATGCCTACACAGATGTCACTAGACCTAACAGGCATTGCTTTGCTGTGTGGAAAAACACGAGTTTCTTGTTTCCTGTAGTGCTTTCTGTGTTAATGATTAAAGCAGTTCTGAAAGTAAACATCTGTAATTGTCCCAAATACAAGATGACATTTGTTGCATAAACTGGTTTTAATTATTTTGTGGCCATGAATCCTTTTCTTAAATCCAGGACAGTGGTTTCATAAACAAGGAACTAATCCAATGGCCAAAAGCAAAACACACCCAAACATTTCCCTAACTTTCCTAGCTAAGTCGAGATAAACAACATCATACAAATTTTCAGAACAACAGAGACTATTTTATTATTGTAACCAAACATTCTTCTTGCTATTATTTTCAAAGCAAAATTAATACAGACTGAACTACAAAACAGTTGCCTATTTCAGCGGTTTCAGCTAAAAGAATGATCATTTTAAGCTACTGAGAGCATGCAGAAATTTTTAAAATGGAAACATTTGAGCTGCACACACTAGAAAATGTTTTTATTTAAATTGGTAAATGAGAGCATAGTGCACTGCAGATTTTGACTCATTGTTTCGAAATGAAGGATAACAGCAGAGTAATATCTACAGTTCACCATGAGCAAACAGCATAAGCTATACAATGTAGAGTAACAACATTCAACAGAGCTTTGCAGCATTACACTAAGTATTTTTTTTCCTTCAGAAGTACTTAACATTTAGGACTTAGGGAAGATTCTTTATTCACAGATCTTAAAAATATGCAAAAATTAAAATAAATGATTCAGAAAGAACGTGGAATAAAAGTATCCTTACCAAATAGAGCAGAAAGGTGTGAAGACCTGTTCCAAGTCCAACAGAGGACAGAATGCCTAATCCTACCCAATAGGCACACCAGAAGAACTTTTTCTCCATATACCGCACATACTGAAAGAGAAAAGTCACAAAACAAACATGGTGATGTCCCTTGGAGGAGAAAGTTAAAGCTACAGACAACTATCTGCATTAGTTTGTATTAGAACAATGGAAACAGAGTCCTAAATTCCTCTATCTGCAACGTACTGCAATTACAGCACAGGTATATGTACAGAGAACAACGCATTTTCAAAAGAAAAGCCCCCACACCTTATAATCAGCAAGGTTCCGAGGATACAGATGGAAAATTCAGTTTCAGTAGTGAGGACCTGAAAATCCAGAATAGGCATACAAGGTTCACACAGGTAAGCAATAAGCGCCAGACAACATCTACTGGAAGCCAATCAGCAAGCAGACAGGTTGGGGAATTTCCTCAACAGATAAGTGTACAGCCAGGTACACTGCAGGGATGGGAGGCTGTATCTCACTCTCATTGCCATGAGAGCAGTAACATAAAAGGACGAGCAAGGTCATTAACTTGGCTATACCACAGCCCTGAGAAGAGGTGTCCTTTAATACCATGCATGGATCAACAGCACGGGTGTGAAGTTTACCAGCCTTAACCAGGCTCCAGCCTTCCAGAGTATAAAAAAAAAGTCCTGAAAACAACCACTGAAACTGCAAGTATACTTAGCTATTTTGAATTAAATGTTTTGGAAGAAAGTGGCTTACATATTCAATTATATGTTGATGGCACACAGAGATGGGTAGAGAGAGGGTTTAGCAGGACATGGATGTTAGGAAAGAAGCTCTGGAGGAAGGGGGGTGGACAGATAGCTGCTGGAGCACACCACTGAGACAACACAGAAGAGAGCTCCAAGCACTACTGGACACTGCAGGCACGCTCCCCTTGCCCATCCCAGAGGTACAGGCTTCTTCCCACCAGGCTCAAGGAAAGCTCTGGAGGCACTGCCAAGCCTCACTGCACCGCAGCCCCAGCCAGCACAGGGGGCACATGCCTCAACACCAGTTTGTAAGAGCCATCTAGTGGCAAATGTTGAGTGCATCAAGCTCTGGCCTTGATGCTGACAAAGCCACCAATCAGGAAAGTTTTTAAATGAAGGAGGTATTTGTCCATCAGGAACACGAATGGACCACTGATCTACCAGCTGCCAACCTGCCCGGTGTGTAACTGCTTAGGTCTCAGGCATGGGACCGAGCAAGCAAGGATGCAGCGAGCTGAAGAATCTCATTTCACTGCATTAAGTGACCCAGCCCTGGGAAGCCAGGACTCCTGTTCCAGACCTGCACGTTCCTCAAGCAGATAGTGACAGAGCTCAGCAGTGTAGATGTAAACAAGTTCTCTGAGACTGGGAATCTGGTGATTTGCAGAGTGGTAACGTGAGTCAGCTGCACAAGGAAATGCTCTGCTGGGTTAAAAAGGGCTGCCCCAGAGAAAACCTGAAACTCAGGGAGAAATGGCAAGGGGAAAAGCGTAGACAACACCATCATGTTACGCTTAGAGCAAGCACCTACACTTCAAGTGATGTAAAAGCATCAGTCTTCACGTAACCCAAGACAACTACGTTTTGAAAACAGCCATTGTAAGACAAAGGGAGTATAAGAAGCATCACAGAACCAGATTTGAGCCACGAAACCATTTTATGCCTAAATGTATGCCTGAGCGGGTCAGGATACCCTTCCATAGCAATAGAAACGTTTCTTGGAAACCAATCAAGTTCTCTCATGACTCAGTTTAACATTTTCTCAAGAGTTCCTACTACTATTTAAAGCTTGTTAACAACAGATGTGAAAGAATGCTGCAGCATCAGAGGTGTGCTTATTTAGGAACAGATGAGAAGTGGAACACCTACATATGCAACAAAATAGATGAAATGATACAGCTGATCTTCCCCCATCCTTAAAACGCAACTCATCCACACATGACTCAAGGGAAGTCACGACACGATAAACAGATAACCTTAGCGAGTAGGGGTTCAAAAGATGTGCTACAGTCTCGTTAAGACCCTATTCAATTTCCCAGAATGTCTATTTTAGCACAGGGACAGAAAGTATTAACCCCAGGAAAGTAACCTGAAAGCCTCATACCTGTTGATGTCTTCCTTCAACATAATACGTAGCTGTAAGCACTGCAAGCATCAGTAGAAAAGCCACCAGGATACTTCGTCGATGCCACAATCTTAAAAGACAAATGGTGATTAGTGTTTTTCATAATTTAGCATGCATTTCAAAGTAACTTAAGTTATCCCTGTAGAGTGGGTCTGTGTGGATGTAGTCAGTAGGCAAAATGACAGCTGAGAAGTTCACTGTTATAAAAATGTAAACCTCCCAAGAAATAGCTGGGGAGCCTTTAATCTTTACAGAAAAATCTCTAGTTCACTGTCAGATGAGAACCAAGTTCAGATGCCAAGTTCAGAAAAAAAGGCAAGTAAAAGGCAGTAACTTGCTGAAAGCAAACAATCTAAAAGCCAACATTCAGCTTCTGCAGCTAAGAGAGTTTCAAATACAGGACCACCAAGAACGTTCGTGGTTAAGCCAAGTGCAAAGCAGGCACCGGCCCTGTGCAGGGGATGATCTGCGGGTGGGTAACAGAAGTGCTGATTCCAAACTGTGCTGGTGGGTAGAGCCACAGTGACAGTAAAACGAGCAAACCTCAACATTATTTTGGTTCCCTTAATCTGCTGAAGTTAGTACCTCTTGTTACAGCTCAAACTTTAATACATACATTTTTACTAATTATGAAGCATTAGGAAGCTACTACAGGTAAAGGGAAAAAAGCATTTTTATGATATACAGTTACTCTTGCACCTGCCTAATTCTGTAAGGTTACAATAATGCTGCTTCACACATACGTGGCCACACAC